GCTCTATGCCTGCTTGCTCATTGTGCTGATTACACCCCACTTTGGCTATGGGGGTGTGTCAGAATGTTATAATTGTCTAGCCTGCAGTGGGGTACTCTATAGCGAGTACAACCATATTAGGGTTTCCTATATGTATGCCAACTGCTGCTAGTGCAACCCCTCCCTTCTTCATTTTCCTCATTTCTTCGCAATATAAACTGTTGCAACGAGCAGAAGAGAACTTCGGTAGGGTTAGTTACTAATTACGTCTGTCGTCAGGAAGCTCGATCAAATATTGCCCTTGATCAGCCTGGAAAGCCCTTGGTGCTTCAGGGAATTTGTGGGTTGCTTCTTATCGACAATGATTACCTCAAATCGGCACAATCTGCACCACGTCTTAACCTACATTCCGCGAGTCACCAGTATTGTTTCTTAAAGGGTTAAATAACAACAACTCTAAGAAAATTTTCTCGTCTTAATATGATCATTAAAGCTGTCAAGATAGGTGTTATAGCTTAGGAATCATAGTGGCTAGGATTAAAGAGAGGTTTGGCCAAAGAAGAGGGTTTGCAATATGAGAGGTACAAGATATACCACCAAGGGGAGTATACCACCAAGGCCCTACACTACTAGCTATACATACAATTGTATAAGAATAATACCGTATGCGCTCGGATATAAGACAGTGTTGAATAGAAGACAGGGGTTGTCTATTACCCAGGTGTCTCGTATAAACGGGGTAGCCTCATTATAAGGCACCTATTTGTGTGTACGAGTTAAGCCAGTGTAGGGGTAAGGGGTAATCGTATAGCGATGGGGTATCTTCTAAATAATTCTTTGTCCGTTTCTAGGAATTATAAGACACCCTAAATAGTCCCGAATACAAGATAACCCAAGCATTTTTGCCCGTGTACGAGATCAGACATATATGTCTTATATTTGGGCGACGACGGTATATATTCTAACATCCCCCCTTAATTGCATGAAGACTAGTTGGTGTAGGGGTGCTCAACCCTAAACGCATCGATCAACGTGCAGCGGCTGTTAGAAATGCTAGGCATAAAGCTAGAACAGGAAAGATAGGTTTGCACTAGCAGGCACTTGAGTACATATAGGAAACCCAAATTTGGGCTATATTCGCAATAGAGTACCCCACTACAGGCTAGACAAATATAACATTTTGACACACCCCCCTAGCCAAAGTGGGGTGTAATCAGCACAACAAGCACAAGTACAAGTACAGCTAGAGGCATTCACAAAGGGCAAGTGAGGAGGAGGAGGTTGGACTGTGAGAGGAGAGGAGATTGGAGGTGACGAGTGAAGCCGCAGACACACGGGCAACAGGAGCGCGCACACGGTGGCTACCGGAGATTGTAGCCTCCGGACTACAAGAGTAACTGGCTCCGCGGCTAAGACGAGCGGCAGGAGCAACGGGCCCACGGGCGACTGGCGCAGCAGGCTCGCTGGGCTACCGGAGATTGTAGCCTCCGGAATACTGGCGCTGCTGGCGACAAAACGGATACCTCCGCTCACTATCCCCCACTATCGCAGACCCCCTTTCACACACCCCCTACTGCACCCCTAGCTCCACTCCCATGTCACCCCCCTAGCACCACTCCCTCGGCTCCCACACATCCACCCCCCTCAGCCGCAGCTGCAGCAGTGGGAGACGAAGGAGGAGGAGGTGCTAGTGGCGACGCACACACCCGCCACCCCCATACCCGCCACCCCGCAGTTGCACAAGGGCAGAAGGCGGCAGGGGCGGCTCGCGGGCTGCAGGGGCGGCTTACGTGGGCTGCAGGGGCGTTTGAAGAGAAGAGGAATAAATGAAATAGCACAAGGTTGGGTACAAGTAGGAAACCCTAGGAAACTATACCCCATAGTGTCTACCCCACTATAGCCTAGACAAGCTATATGATATAAGTTTGACACACCCCCATAGGAAAAGTGGGGAAGAACAAGAGGTCACAAGACCAGTCAAGCAAAGCAAAGCAAGCTCAGGGTGGATCACAACGTCACCACACAATCCAAGCACAAGAGCAAGGCCACAAGGCCAGTTCACATGCAAGATCATATATAAAGGTAAACAGGCAAGTGCAAGTGTAGAAAGATCACAGTACAAGCAAGGTCAAGAAGTGAGCAAGTGAGGCCAAGTAGGCACAAGACCTAGCATAGTACAGAAGCGCTAATGATCACCAGGCGGAAGTGCCTTGGTAAAGATATCAGCAGTGTTGGCCTCAGAGGCCACGTAAGCAAGGCGCAGCTGACCACGCTGCTGCAGCTCACGAGCAAGGAAGTAGCGGAGAGTAATGTGCTTCGTTCTGTGCTCCCGACACAAGGCCAGCATGGCCTTGTTGTCTACGTACAGAACTGGAGGAGAACGAGGCGGCTCTCCTAGGTTATTCAGCAGGTAGGTGAGCCAGCGTAGCTCCTGTGCAGCCATGGCCCCCGCGTAGATCTCAGCCTCACAGCTGGAGCCGAGAACAGAAGACGAGCGGGTAGACCGCCACGAAACAGAGCCGTAGCCAAGGCTGAAGGTGTAACCCTGTGACGACCGCTGCGTAGCCTGGTCGTCAGCCCAAGAAGCGTCTGCATGACCTGTGAGGACCACTCGACGTCGCCCTCCAAGCACTAGCCCCATGCCCGACGTACTGCACAAGTAGCGCAACACCCTCTTCGCTGCAGCCATGTGCTCTGGTCGTTGTCTCCTAGGAGCAACATAGCGTGCCAAGATGCTAAGAGGGTATGCAAGGTCAGGTCGTGCGCAGGTCATCAGGTACATGAGGCAGCCATCAAGCTCTGGGTACGGGCCACTCGGCTCTACGGACTCATCCGGAGGCAGAGCTGAGAGCGAGTGGCGAGTAGAGAGAGGAGTGGCCTGAGGCGAGGAGTACGTGAAGTCGAAGCGCTGAAGGACCTGCTGCACCATGTGTGACTGAGTAAGGTAATGGTGCGCTGTGCTCTGTCCCGGGTGATCTGCAAGCCAAGGTAGCTGCGCAGTTCACCTAGGTCTGTGCACGTGTGTCTCTTCTGCAGCTCGGACTTCATGTCGGCGAGTCCAGCAGTGTCAGCAGTGGCAAAGACCAAGTCGTCGACGTACACGAGGATGTAGAACGGCGGCAAAGAGGTGTCGGTGCGCAGAAACAGCGACGGGTCGGCTGTAGAAGGAGCAAACCCAAGAGCCGCAAGTGTAGTCCTCAGTGTGTCGTGCCACTCACGGGGCGCTTGGCGGAGACCGTAGAATGGCCGCCGGAGGCTCCACTGGGTACCAGGAGGAAACGACCCAGTGAAGCCAGGTGGGCGGCACAGCCAAATCTCCTCGTGCAGGCTGCCCTGTAGGAAAGCTGTGCAGAAGTCAAGAGAGTGAAGCTCGTAGTCGCGCTGAGCGGCTATGTGCAGCAACACCCGAAGAGTGGTCATCTTCGGGGTGGGAGAGAAGGTCTGAAAGTAGTCAGCTCCCTGCCGCTGACTGAAGCCTCGAGCCACGTAACGCGCCTTGAAGACAGGCGGAGAACCCGGCGGCCGCTTCACCCTGAAAATCCACATGCCACTGACGATGTTCGCCCCAGGTGGGGGAACCTCGTCGACGTAGGTGCCTGTGGACTTCCAGGAAGCCATCTTTGTGTCCATGGCTGACTGCCACTGAAAGGAGTAGGGACCCTCGATCGCCTTAGCGTACGATCGAGGAGTCGGGATGTCTGGTGCATCCGGGTCTCCCTCAGGGGCGATCAGCGTGGACACGAGATGAGGCAAAGCAACAGCAAGACACTGGAACTCCTCCTGCGTGTCCTCAAGGACGTCCGTGCTTAAAGCACACTCACCCCTGACGGACGGAGGACAGACAGACTCAGACTCAGCAACAAGACTAGCAGCGTAGTCTAGACGACAGCGAGCAGCAAAGTCGACAAGCTCAGCAACTAGGGCCGACGCATCAGTGGACTCAAAGGAAGGGTCAGTGACAACAGTAGCCAGGAGACGCGTGACAGTAGGACTGGCAGCATGAAGAGAGTCAGACTCCGGGTCAACAAGAACAGGAAGAGAGGACTCTGGAGGAGACGGCAACGGGACACGCAGAGGAGCAGTGGAAAGACGCAGTGCCATCTGGTGCGTGCCTGGGACCGTAGGAGGACGCGGACATGGAGCACGACGACTAGTGCGAGCAGCACGAACAGGCGACGCAGGACGAGACGCAGGCTCACGACGCTCAGCAAGACCTCCAGTAGGACCAGTGTAGGGAGAAGGAGTAGGTAGGGGGGAGGCGGGCTGTAACTGTGACTGCGACTGGACAGGCTGTAGACACTCTAAGGGAGGAGCAGGACCAGTCGAGGGCGGGAGACGAAGAACCTGCTCAAGGAGCGGAACAAAGTACGGCCGCAGCCGCGCAGCGCCTCCAGAACCAGCGGGGACAGCACCAGTTCTCCAAGCGGCAGCACCAGCGCCAACTCCAGCACCCTCAAACTCACCAGCGCCAGCAGATCCACCAGCGCCAACACCCCCAGAAGCTCCAGCTCCAGCAACTCCAGAAGCTCCAGCAGCACCAACTCCAGCAGGACCGGCAGCTCCAGTACCGCCAGCAGCTCTAGCAGTACCTCCAGCAGGACCAACTCCAGCAACCCCAACAGCACCCCTAGTCCCAGCAGCTCCAGTACCGCCGGTACGAGTACCTCCGGGACCACCAGCAACAGTAGTACCTCCAGCTCCAGCAGAACGGCTCCAGCGTCAGGCAAACCACTCACGCAACTCCTGCGGAGAGAGTGGCTCTCGCCTCGACGAAGCACCGCGAGAGGCCACTCGAGCAGACCCAGCACCCCCAGGCTCCGCACCCCCAGGCTCAGCACCCCCAGGCTCTGCACCCCCAGACTCAGCACCCCCAGGCTCAGCATCTCCAGGCTCCGCACCCCTGGACTCAGCACCCCCAGGCTCCGCACCCTCAGGCTCCGCACCTCCAGACCCGGCACCCGCAGGCTCAGCACCTCTAGCAGCACTAGAGTCAACAGCTACCTCGACAGGCTCGACTGCGTCTACCTGGAACACACCTGACACGGCAGGACCCTGAGGGGGGAGGGGGTCTACTGGGGGAGGACCTGGCGCAAGGAAGAGCGGCGGCGGGGAGAGGGGCGCAGTGCGGTAGGGGAAGAGACGGTAGTAAGGTACCGACTCGTCAAAGGTGACGTCCTGGGAGGACAGAACACGGCGCGAGGTGGGGTGGTAAAACTGCCACCCAGGCGCGTCAGGGGGGAAGCCAAGGAAGACGCAGGGAACAGCACAGGGGGACAGCTTGTCCGCAGACAAGTCGCGGACAAACGCCCGAGATCCCCAGACCCGAAACGCAGACGCATCGCCATCCTTCCCCGCCCATCGCAAGGTGGGGGAGGTCTTTGTAGATCAGCTCCACTCACCAAGTTCGTAGAGAACGAGGGGAGGTAGAGACCTGACAGGGTGCCAGAGGGGGCTGCCGGGCACGGTAAGACAGTGGAGAAGCTAGCAAGGACAGGACCCCCAGAGGGGTCCGCCAGGGAGACTGCAACCGGCCAACTAAGCAGCGTAAGCGTGGTGCGGTCTCGAAAGAAGGAGCGGGAAGCACCCGAGTCAAGGGTGAAGGTGTGTAAGGCCGGAGCCGACGTAGTACCTGAGAGAGCAGACTCACCAGCACCTGGAACAGCAGACGCACTAGCACCTAGAGCAGCAGCCTCACCAGCACCTAGAGCAGCAGCCTCAATGCCCGGGTCAGGCGGAACACACAGGTAACAGTCACCCTCAACACTATCAGACACAGCATACATGGTAGCAAGAATAGCATCATAATCAAGATCAAAGATAGCAGCCCCGGCCCTAGACAGCTCTCCCAAGCGAGGGATCTCATTGGCGTCAGGGAGCTGGTTTCGCCAAGCGTCCGTCAGGCGGCCGAAGCAGCGCTGGGTGGAGTGCGAGCCCCCGCACTGCTCACCAACGCGGTCGCCGATACGGAGGACATAGGTACAGGGACCAGTAACCCCACCGCGCTGACACGCACCGTACCACTCACGAAGTTGCTGAGGGGACAGGGTCTCACGACTGCGCTGCTGCTGCTGGCGCGGACCACCACCGGACCCACTCCTCTGCGCAGAGCCGCGACCAGCTCCACCGCTGCCGCCGCCGCCTCCGCCACCTCCGCTGCCTCCGCCACCTCCGCCGCCTCCGCCACCTCCGCCGCCTCCTCCGCCTCCACTGCTGCCACCGACACCTCCACACCCGCCACCACTCCCACCACCACCCCCACCCCCTCCACTGCCTCCACCACCACCTCCACCGCCCCCGCCAGCCCCTCCAGCGCCCTTGCCCCCCTTGCCCTTGCCGGTGCGGCGTCTCCCGCTAGGGGAAGACGCAGCGCCGACCGACTTTAAAACCAACGAGGTCGGCCGCAGCAGTAGAAGCAATAGAGGGCAAGAGGGGGGAAGGGGAACACCCCTCAAAGACGGGGGTGCGAGGGTCACCACGAGAGGCTCCTACAGCGACTATGCTCTTCTCTGCTGCTAGGAGGCACTCCTCGAGAAGGTCAACGGTGAGTGTGGTGGGGCAAACTGAGAGGAAGTGGTCCGAAACTAAGCGAAGGGAGTCAGGGAGCCGGGTGACTATGTAGTAGAGGGTGATGTACATGGGGGGGGGGGGTTCTTGGCACAGAACTCAGTAGGAAGTGCAGCGCGGTAGCGAGTGTCACTAGTGCGGAGGTGCGTAATGAGGTCAGCGATTGTGGGAAAGGCAGCAAGGTCAGGGAAGAGGTACGGTAGCATGAGGTGGCTCAGCGCAGCAGTGGCAGGGGAAGAGTAGCGTGCAACTACAGCGTCGTACAAGGTCTTAGCACTCTTGTTCTTGCTAAAGTGCGCACGCTCAGTGGTCGGTAAGTGGCGACGCACAGTAAGACGGGCAGCAGCATCGCGTGTGGCCCACTGTGAGCGAACAGTGCTGTCAGCAGTAGCAGGCGGGGCAGGAGAGGCACCAGTGTCAGAATATTATCTTATTGTTCTAGCCTGTAGTGGGGTGCTCTATAGCGAGTACAACCCTTCTAGGGTTTGCTATTTGTATCCTCATTCTTGCTAGTTCAATCCTCTTTCTTTCTTCTAATTTTGACATGCTATCAGAGCAGGTCGATCCCCCTGGATCGATCCTGTGGGTGTGTCCCCACCTTGCTTCCGCTGCTACTTTTTCCTCCCGCCGTGCGCCCCGAGGCGCGCGGCGGTTTTCTGCCCGCCGTGCGCCCCGAGGCGCGCGGCGGTTCATTGCCCGCTGTGCGCCCCGAGGCGCGCGGCGGGCTTCTCCCCTACGTCGCGGCCCCGCCCCGATCGTCGCGGCCCCGCCCCTTGACGCGGCCCCGCTCTACGTCGCGGCCCCGCCCCGGCCCGTCGCTGCCCGTGCGCCTGCCCGGCTTGGCCCCGCCCTTCGTCGCGGCCCCGCCCCGGCCCGTCGCCGCCCGTGCGCCTGCCCGGCTCGGCCCCGCCCTTCGTCGCGGCCCCGCCCCGGCCCGTCGCCGCCCGTGCGCCTGCCCGGCTCGGCCCCGCCCTTCGTCGCGGCCCCGCCCCGGCCCGTCGCCGCCCGTGCGCCTGCCCGGCTCGGCCCCGCCCTACCTTCGCGGCCCCGCCCAACGTTGCGGCCCCGCCCTATGTCGCGGCCCCGCCCTACGTCGCGGCCCCGCCCTACGTCGCGGCCCCCCCCCCGACCGTCGCGGCCCCGCCCCTCGTCGCGGCCCCGGCCCCGTCCCCCCCCCCTTTTCTCCCCTCCCCCCCAATTCCCGTCGTCCGTCGAGGCGACCTGAGGGGCGAGCTGTGGGGTGGCAGGTATGGGGGTGGCCGGTGTGCCTTCCTCCCTTTCTCCTCCTCCTCCTTCGTCTCCCACTGCTGCAGCTGACGCTGAGGGGGGTGGTTGTGTGGGAGACTGGGTTTAGGGTTTAAGGGGGGTGTGTGGGAGTAGAGCTAGTGGTGTAGCAGTGGGTGTGTATCAGGGGGGTTGGACTGTGTGCGGGAGGATGAGCGGAGGTTGCCAGTTTGTCGTCAGCAGCACCTGTAGTCCGGGGCGCTGTCCCGGTAGCCCAGTCGTAGCCAGCTGTGCTAGCCGCCCGTGGGTCCGTTGCCCGTCCGCCGCTATTTGAGCCGCGGGGCCTGTTACTCCTGTAGTCCGGGCGCTGTCCGGTAGCCGCTGTGCCAGTCTGCCTCCTGTTGCCCGTGTGTCTGCAGCTTCAGCCGTCGCCTCCTGACTCCTCTCCCCTCACTCTCCCTCCTCCTCCTCACTTGCCCGTTGTGACTACCACTAGCTTTGCTTATAATTGTGAACTCTAAACTATTTCTTCTTGAACTTGTGCTCAGAATGTGTGGTGACATTGTGATCCACCCTGAGCTTGTTTTGCTTTGCCTGCTCTGCTGATTACACCCCACTTTGGCTATGGGGGTGTGTCAGAATATTATCTTATTGTTCTAGCCTGTAGTGGGGTGCTCTATAGCGAGTACAACCCTTCTAGGGTCTGCTATTTGTATCCTCATTCTTGCTAGTTCAATCCTCTTTCTTTCTTCTAATTTTGACAACCACAGGTGAGATCGAACAGGGAGAGTTCGTCTGCCCTATTGCACTGTAGGAATAGCTAGAGGTCATCGAGCCAGACCTCGAAGTCAACAGCACGACCCTTAGCATCAAAGGTAAGGACACTGAGGGTAGCCATGTTTGCAGTGGCCTAGCAGGGAGTGATCTCACCAGTCCGAGTAAGTAGGGCCGGGGCGCGCCGGTAGGAACAGTAGCGGCTCGACGGTAGGGCGGCTCGGCGGCTCGGCTGCTCGGCTGCTGGGCGGCTTGGCGGCTCGGCTGTTGGGCGGCTCGGGTGTCGGGCGGCTCAGTTGCTGGGCGGCTCGGGGGCTCGGCGGCTCTGCTAGTGGGCGGCTCGGCGGCTCGGCTGTTGGGCGGCTCAGCTGCTGGGCGGCTCGGTAGAGGCGGCGACGGGGCCGGTAGAGGCGGCGACGGGGCCAGCAGAGGCGGCGATGGGGCCGCTAGGGGCGGCGACGGGGCCGCGTAGGGAGGGGAGCGGCGACGGGGCCGCTAGGGGCGGCTACGGGGCCGCGTAGGGGCGGCGACGGGGCCGCTTAGGGGTGGCCACGAGGCCGCGTAGTGGCGGCGACGGGGCCGCGTAGGGAGGGGAGCGGTGACGGGGCCGCTAGGGGCGGCGACGGGGCCGCGTAGGGGCGGCGACGGGGCCGCGTAGGGGCGGCGACGAGGCCGCGTAGTGGCGGCGACGGGCCGCGTAGGAAGGGGAGCGGCGACGGGGCCGCTAGGGGCGGCGACGGGGCCGCGTAGGGGCGGCGACGGGGCCGCATAGGGGCGGCGACGGGGCCGCGTAGGTAGAGAGGCGGCGACGGGGCCGCTAGGGGCGGCGACGGGGCCGCGTAGGGGCGGCGACGGGGCCGCGTAGGGGCGGGGACGGGGCCGCGTAGGGGCGCCGACGGGGCCGCGTAGGGAGAGAGGCGGCGACGGGGCTGGTAGGGGCGGCGACGGGGCCGCTAGGGGCGGTGACGGGGCCGCGTAGGGGCGGCGAACAAGGCGCGCCTTGGGCAGGAGCGATTGACGCTCCGGTCAGAAGAAAAATTTCAGTGGTGGGCCCAAGGAAGCATTCCCACTAGGGAACCTGCTCTATACCATGTGAAGAAAAGAGGAATGAATGAACTAGCACAAGGTTGGGTACAAGTAGGAAACCCTAGGAAACTGTACCCCATAGTGTCTACCCCACTATAGCCTAGACAAGCTATATGATATAAGTTTGACAGGGCGGTTCGCGGGCTGCAGGGGCGGTTCGCGAGCTGCAGAAGGGGCAGCGCGCGGGCCCCCGAAGGCGCCACGACGGGCGACGGGAGGGGGGCCGCGCGCAGGCCCCTGAGGGCGCCTCAATGGGCGATGGGAGGGGGCGACGTGCGGGTCCCCTGGGCGCCGCGACGAGGCGATGGGAGGGGGGGACGCGCGAGCCCCCAAGGCGCCGCGACGAGGCGACGGGAGGGGGTGGCGCGCGGGCCCCCAAGGTGCCGCGACGAGGCGACGGGAGGGGGCGACGCGCGGGCCCCCTAGGCACCGCGACGAGGCGACAGGAGGGGACAGCGCGCATGCCCCCAGGGCGCCGCGACGAGGCGACGGGAGGGGGGGCGGTGCGCGGGTTGACGGAGTAGGAAACCGCCGCGCGCCTCGGGGCGCACGGCGGGCAGAAAATCGCTGCGCGCTCCGCCATGCGCCCCGAGCGCGTGGCGGGAAGAAAAAACGGCGCGCGCCACGGGGCGCGCGACAGACAGGACAGCAGCGGAAGCAGGTGGTGGGCCCACCCACTGGATCGACCAAGGAGGGTCGACCTGCTCTGATAGCATGTTAGAAATGCTAGACAGAAAGTTAGAACAGGAAAGAGAGGTTTGCACTAGCAGGCAGTTGAGTACATATAGGAAACCCTAATCTGGGCTTTACTCGCTATAGAGTACCCCACTGCAGGCTAGACAAATATAACATTCTGACAGCGGCTGGGCCCTTTGGTAGGATATCCGCCTGCGGTTTAACCCCCGCAGTAGATGCTCGGTGAGCGCGACGAGGGGAACGCGAAACGACACGACACGACACAGAAGGGTGGCGGCGGCGTTAGCTGCTGCTGGCGCTCGCGCTGGCGCCTGGCGCTGGCGTCCGCGTCCGCGTCGGGCGCTGGCGTCCGCGCTCGCATCGGGCGCTGGCGTCAGTGCTCGCTTGGCGGGGCGACGGGGCCGCGGGCGACGGGGTAACGTGCGAGACGGGAGAGGCGAACCAGGGGCGCGACGGGGGAGGCCGCGGGGCGACGAGATAGTGCGGGGCGACGAGATGGTGCGGGGCGACGTGGGGGCCGTGGGGTGACGAAATGACACGGGGCGACGGATCTCGCCGCCATGATGGTCATAATATGAGGCCTAGGAACGGCCTGCTCTGAATACCATATCAAGATATGTTCTATAGCTTATGAATCATAGTAGCTACTTAACAATAATTTTTTTGTATGACTATAGAGATAAAACACGATTTGCATAGCTTCGCCAAGTAAGACGGTAATCTAATATATGCGCTTATATCTGTGTATTCATGAGTTACACCCTTTGGTGGAGTCAGCTGCTCGTTGAGATATAGCAACATCTATGCATGTTGTCCACGTGGTTGTAAACAATGTGTCGTTGCCCGTGTCAAATGCGCAAAAGGACGGAATTTGCTCTAGCTTATTCCTAGCTTCGGATCATTAGCTAAAAATGTAAACAAAAATCATGGGAAGACACGAGCTATAGTTCAGCAGCTCGGGTCAACAAGCTGAACTAGTTCACTATCATTTTAGGCTAGTTGGCTACCCGAGATCGCAACCCTTGTCATTATGTGCTGATATCGTTGGCTAAATCTAGCAAGCGTCTTCGACAGTGCATGAGGCAGAAATGTGCAATCTTGAAAAGCAAACGGAGTAGATACTATTGCAAATTGATAATTTTTCACCTCTTCCAATAAGCAAGCGACAGACTCCCAACAAGAAGGAAAGCAACGAACATTAGTAGGAGGAGAAGCTAGCACAGTGGGACAGGAGAGGACAAGCAAGAGGAGGAGGAAGAGGAGGAGGAGAGAGAGAGAGAGAGAGAGAGAGA